GAGAGAGAGAGGAGAGAGAGAGGAGAGAGAGAGGAGAGAGAGAGAAGAGAGAGAGAGGAGAGAGAGAGAGAGAGGAGAGAGAGAGGAGAGAGAGAGGAGAGCGAGAGAGAGAGAGAGAGCGAGGGAGAGAGAGAAGGAGAGAGAGAGAGAGAGAAGGAGAGAGAGAGAGAGAGAGAGGAGAGAGAGGAGAGAGAGGAGAGAGAGGAGAGAGAGAGAGAGAGGGAGAGAGGGAGAGAGGGAGAGAGGGAGAGAGGAGAGAGAGTGTGAGAGAGGAGAGAGAGAGCAGAGAGAGAAGCGAGAGAGAGTGAGAGAGAGAGAGAAGAGAGAGAGGAGAGAGGGAGGAGAGAGAGAGAGAGAGAGACGAGAGAGAGAGAGAGAGGGAGGGAGAGGGAAAGGGAGAGGGAGAGTGACAGAGCGGCAGCACAGCACACTCACTCAAGATACTAGGTGATGTTCCAAATCTTCCCCGCTGAGGCCTTCATTAGTGAGTGTACGAAGGCAATACAATTCGAGCGTCACCCAGAATATCACCCGGATCAGAGCGTAACGACCTGGATTCAACAGCAAGGCAAGACTGGATAAGACTTCGATAAAGCATGCTCAAATCGATTCTGAATACAAACCTCCAAAAAACAAGACCAGCAAGAACCGAGTGGAAAACAAATATGGAAGTAGCGGTGTGCTTACGATACACGCAACGTGTCCAAAATTCTTGAGTTCTAGAGCTCAGCTGCTGCGTTTTCCTTTTCTTCCCTTCCTTTGAGGCTGGCATCAATGGGGAGGGCCAGTCCCACTTTGGACCTGTGGCCGTCTCCTGGCGAAGGAATTGCACTCGATCCATCCGGTCTAAGGAAGGATGCTATGACCCAGGGTTCTACAGCTTGTGTTCATTGTTTGGTTCATACGTAATTGCTATCATACTTGTGGCCCCCCATCTACGCATGTAATTACATACCATAATACCATCGGGGCTTTGGGAGTCTCCAGGATTTTGATCCGGGACAAAGGCAGTTTCCAGGAGGCACCGGTGCCGGTCGATCGCATGCCAATCACGAGGGAATTCGTGACGGTGCCGAAAGTGCGAGTGGGTGGGCGAATTGATGCATGGGGGTCAGGCAAGGTGGTGGTGAATGTCTCTGCAGTCGGCATAGTCCCTAAATGACCTGCCTCTCAAATGAGGCAACCCAAAGTACTTGGCTGTGTATGGTGGTTTTTGTTGTTTTTGTGTTTGTTCAAAGGTTCAGGTCATATTTACGTGCATTCCGCATTTATATTAGCAGAGGTGGTCTGCAGAAGTTGTCCTGTGAAATTTAAAAGGGTTGCAGTATGTCACGCTATGTCTTACATGCGTCCTGCAGACCTCCAGCTCCAGCGTAAACTCCTGAGTCTAGCCACTGCACCAGCTCTAGACCCTCCACCAGCGGCTCCGCGGCTCCGGCGGCCTCAGTCCATCAAGACCCTCTATGACCGACCAGTGCAATGCGCCGGGAGGGCCTGGATTGTAGGCCGTTTTGGTCTTTAGGGATGTTTGGGGGGGTGAGGGGGCCTCCATTGTTTGACTGGTGGTGCCTTATGGGGTTTTGGTTGAACATATCAACTGAAATCCGTAGTGCAATATGGCCAAATGATCTCCAAATGTCAGCCAGTCCACTTGACTGGCACGATGCAGGAAGTTGGCACCACTAACCCATCCAGACAGAGAAAAACATCGTCGGCTCATCGGTGCTCACTGCAGCAAAAAAAGGATATGCACATATATGCACACCTTCAACAGAAAGTTGGTTTTTGCCCTCGTTGCTAGTTTGGGCGAGGTGTGTGTGTATGTGTTATTGCCGCAGTTTGTTTCAAGGTTCAAGGAAATGCACAGGCAAATCAACAATTCTTTCATGCAATCATTTCAGTCAGTTCGTCCTCATGTAGGGAAAGAATTGAATTGTAACCCCTAGCATTGCCGCAACAATCTTCTGAAGGGTTGCTACTAGGCAGAAGCACAGATGGAGCCCAGAACAGTCAGGTGGTGTTTAGCTGCGCTCATTTCTTCACCATGGCAGATGACCTTCCAGAAGAGCATGTGCAGCGCACGCTGGCAGAGCTTCATCCACAACCTGAAGAAGAAGCTGAGGTAAATGCCATTGAGGAGGACAGCTGCTTCCTGAGTCCAGAGGCGGAAACACGTAGTTTGAACCAATTCTTCCCCTTGCATCGTTGTGACAGAGAAGAGGTGGAACACCACATGGTTTTCATTTTGCACCTATTTCCTCCCCTGAAAATTTGTGTTCTCCCTTTGTTGCATGGTATTTCCTCGAGAATGGTTTTCGAGGCTCACTCAAAAACAATGATATTTACAATTATTTACGTATAGTATATATATTTACTTATACACTTGTCTATGGCAATCCTCGAGTTTCCTATTGCATCCTAATACTGGTAGGGTGCCACTCAAGGTTCTGGCAGCTCAGGGGATGGTGCCTGGTAGATAAACTGGCAACTTGAGTGGGGCCAGTTGCATATCCTCCTCGGTCGAGTTTTATCCGCTTAGACTGGGATTGCCGAAGATGATGTTCGCGTATCCTACGGGTCCCACTCAACCCACGGAACTGGACAGTCGGATAAGCCCACATTCCGGTCGCGATCTTCAGTGAGTGACCGCATGCTTTGCGAAAAAGCTCCGTTTCGGGCACTTGCTTGAATATGTGAGCAAACATCAGCATTACAGTGTGCGGTATGGCCCCATGGCAGTCAATTTTTGGATGGTCTGACATGTGAGAAGCCTTTCAACCGCATGCAGGTTCTTGGATCAATGTTGTGATCCACAGGCTCACTGGGAAGTATTATATGCTGGCTTGCCGGCAGTATGGTCTTCGGCTTGAGTTTGATTCCATACAACTACTCACAAAGCATTGGTTTTCAATTTATTCGACGTGACGTTCCCAGCACTCCAATGAATGGTGATGTGGCAGTCAGACTGTGCCGATGGTATGGTACCCGGGCCATCGCCGCTCGAGCGGGAAAGAGGATCCAGACTCCTAGAGTCTTCAGCAGCGTGCTGCACCCTCCAAACCTCCTGGCTCTCCATTGTTTAGTTTCACTACACAACCTTTTTTTGTGCAAGGCACGCTGAGTTCTCCAAGGCTCTTCAAGGTTGGGGCTTCGTTCTTCCGTGGCAGACCTGAACCGCAGACTTTCACCCACGGTTCGAGTGACCTGCAGGTTGCAGAGTGACCACCAAGTAAGTAGATTCAAAAGTGCATCAGAGAACCGGTATCCACATGTATCATCATGTATCCACTATCAATGGGTCCATCACACCCTCACCATTGTTCTAGAACAAGAGTCCAGTTTGCACCAGAACGATCAATTAAAGCCACGTCAAAGTACCCTTTGCAGCTCTAAACCATTAGGCCAACTCTGAAGACAGGTCAATCTTCTGCAGATTTCTTACACCCCTTACCTCTCTTGAGATCTTGTGATTGAACAGTAACTTATGTTTGTAACCCCTTACCATCCCTTACCTGATCAGGCCAGCTCACAGGTCTGTAACTTGTGTCCTGCCACCCAGGAGCTTTTGGCACTTTGCCGCACCTGCGCGGAGCAGCTGGGCTTGGTATCGCCTGGCACGCCTGGCGGCCTGCGGCGCTCGGGGGCCTTCCAGCTGGGTGCCCAGGTGCGGCACGCGGAGCTGGACGTGGTCTATGTGCCTTGACGGCACAAGACGGCATCGGTCAAGGTTGGTGCTTCGTTGAGTCTGGGGGAGGGGTGGACAGAAAGATGTTGTTGTTTTTCCTCCTGGGGGGGTAGCCCGCTAGGAGGGAGAGGTAGCTGCTAGCTGCAAGTAAGCTACTACCTAGGACGCAGGATAGCTTGCGCTTCTTCAAGGAAACTCGACAGGACGGCGGGGGAAGCTTCCTTGAAGAAGCGCTCGCACGAATGATTTGGTTCCTCGATTTTTTGGGAAACTGAAGGTTCCCAAAATGATACCTTGCCCATCTTGCGGTGATGATGGGCAGCAGGGCGGGGGGATCCAGTGACTGGACTCCCGATTTTGGACGAAGGTCAAAGGTGAAGACATGTGTTGAAAAGGGAGGAGATTGAATCTGAATGGTCAAAACACCAACAAAATTGAAAACAGTTTGAGTTTAAACCGAGACTCCTTCAACAGAGGTTGCTCAGCAGTTTTTGATCTACAAGCCTTCCTGTAGGGATGGTGGTGTGGGGAAGAAAGTTGTGGTGAATTTAGTTCATGAATGAGTTGTTTGTTGGGGGTTTGGCAAGAGCATGCAGAAATGTTGAAGAATCGGATTGCTGACTCTTTATAATTCAGTGGGTTTCACTGTGGCAACGTTAGCTCATCGGCAGGACCTGATTGGAAGGGACCTATCGATCTGGCTCAATGACTTGTAGTGTCCCACTTTGTGCTGAGAAACACAAACTCATTCGACAGCCTTTGTACATTGTCGTACTTATAATATAATATCATAATATCTTTTTTACAGTACATAGTTTGACCAGCAGTTACTGTATGATAGCATGTGAGACGGCAAGCGTGACAGGCAAAAAGACCAAATGACATATCATCATGTTGGCCCAATGCCGACCTAACCAGAGGACCAGAATGGAGATAATGCAGAAAAGTTGGGCACGACGTCCACTCCGCAAATAGCCTGCAAGCAGCCCTCCAAGCGGAATTGACAGACCATGATGAGCAATTTCTTGTGTTTGGCCTATGGCCATTCAAGGCAGGATTCACTCACATTACCTACAACAAAACATACATAATTATTACTTTTCGATTTTGAGGGCGACCTCAAACCCAACGGTTGATCGCCATTGATCGCTTCCAACATCGGGAACTTCGGTTCATCCACTCCGACCCCTCCGAGTCCGACGCTCGGGACTGACCTCAGGTGCTGCCAGAGACGTCCTCCATCGGTCCCTTTGGTCCGTTCCTGGAGCTCTTGCAGCAGAGGCTTCAGGCCGAGAGATGCCAAGAGCAGCTTCGGCTTGGGTCCAAAAAGGTCTTGAAAGGATCCAGATTGACCCCTGGGAGACTCTGGATACGTGGCCATATATGGCCATACTAGTTGAATCAAATGGGGGTGCTTTTTCAAGCATACAATGGCAGAGGGCCATCACAGGCTGATGGTCCTGGCCGGGGTCGTGTCCGGGGTCGGCTGTTCTTCGTAGATGTTCGTAGTGAAGGGGTGGTCCCCAAGCCGGTGGAAGTGTGACTGAACCATAGGATACATGCACAACAATTGTGCTAATATAACTATACCTATATATAGATCACTATCACCGTAACAATATTAGTCATTTGTCATGTTGGAACTTCTGCTCGCTGTGCCTTTCATCTCCATTCGAATGTATATTGGATCATCGGATCTCCCAATGTTCATGCCAAGCGATTGTGATCGCAGTCCGGGTCCGGTCGAAGGGGAGCTTTTCGGTGATGGCAGCTTCGGACAGGTCATGTAGACTTTTAACGCACACCCCATTTTGCATCCTAGCACCTCTTCAATGGGGGGGCCTTTTTCAAGAGTCTACATTACCTTTGGCTGAACCGTGTTGCCTGGCCCGAGAATTGCCAGGCTTCCAGTCAAGCTGCTGTGGCGCCTTGTCGATCCCAGGGCTCCTTGGATGCTCCAGGGCTGCGTTTCATGAAAGGCGAACGCTGGGTGCAGCTCTTTTTGGCGAAGGTGCGGCAAAAAGGGAGAGGTGGGAGGAGGATGTGATACTATGTGATACTATAGTTTAGTCATCACAGTGGATGGAATTTGAGAGCGGAAGTGCATGCGGGACTTATATTGGCTATCATAACCCCACCACTTACTTATAGGGCGTTTGTTCCCGTCAAGTTTCCACCCGAATTTTTTCGCATGTTTAACTCATGCTGTTTGCTCACCACATCGGTCACATCGCTCACCACATCGGTCACTCTTCCATACTTGGAATACCATGGACCAAATAGCTTTCCCAAGCAGGTGTCGTACCAACTTGTACATGCAATTTGAATTGCTTCAGTGCAAAATGACCTCCGAGAACGGTGAGCTGAAAGGTCATTTTGATGCTGTTGATCCACGCACTCACACTCGCATCTCAACCAATCAACACCAAAGCTCACACGGAGCTGTTCAGTTGTTCTTAGGCTGTGAACTACTGTCTCAGACGCGCATATTGTGCTTGTTCATGGAAAAACCTTTAAACGTCCCTTGAAGCCATGTCAAGGGACAATGGTGGTAAAACATGTGTGTGTTTGATGGGAAGATGACGCTTCTGATCTTCAGCTCCTGGCTCGAGAGGCCACCTTTGTTTCAGCTGTCGGCTTGCCATCTTAGGATTCCCTCTAGGAAAAGAAAGCGGGTTCTTGGCAGGTCCTTTTTGGTAATTGGATATCTGGTGTGTGCATCCCCGCACTTTGGAAAAGGTTGGATTTGGGATGGTTTTGGAGACTTTGGTGGGAGTTTGTTAGGATTTCGATGGGGTGTTAGGATTTGGTGGGGCAGAAGTGTGGAGCATGCCCAAAAGTTGGAAAGTGCACTTGGGAGAACGATAGGAAAAAGGTGGGGTAGTGGCATGGGCCCATCGCTGACGGCTCATTTTGAGTGAACAAAGATGTGCAAGTCATCATGTGACACGGAACAACCTTGGTCTTACTGGGAAATATTGAGGTTTTGACAAGATATTTTTTGGCTCTCTTGGGTGTATGTTGGTTGGTTTCCTGAAGGATATATATTGTTTGTAATTATATAGGTCATATTTCGTGAAGCAGTGCTCTATCAAGGGGGTGTGGTAGTGGCACGAACCCGAGCAGTCCGTGACATAAGTGATGGAACACACCCTGGGTAGTCTGTGTCACCCTACAACCCCACAAAATTTGAGTCACCCCCACGTGCACACTGCGCTTGAGAGGAGCAACGCGGCTTGCCCAGCGACACCACCGTGCCCTCCATGGCAGCGCTCCACGGCCTTGAGGCGCGAGGTGACGAGAGGAAGAAGAATGGCTCCTAGTAGCGTCCTTGCTCCTAGTAGTACGGCCAGGAGCCCTAGTAGCATCATGTAGCGTCCTCTATTGCCTTAGAATGAAGTGGTTTTTATTCATCAACAGTCACCATTGAGATACATTGAGCATCCCCCCCATGACATGACATGACATCTCACTATTAGCCACCCACTTCTGAGATTTGGAGGATGACCTTCAGCTTTTCCCATAATTAGACATTGTGTTCATTATGTACGTATCAGAGCATGATGTTTAACCAACCACGCACATGCAAATTAATTTGAACACATATGTGTATATATAATTATATATATATATATGTGTGTGTATAACTACATATATGTTCAGATTTTGAGTGGGATTCGTGCCAAATCATCAATATTAGCTAAATCTAGATCGACTTGTTGCTCGCTTGACGGCCACTAGCTTTGCCTCAGCCATCCCACTTGTTCAGCCATCGCTTCTCCGACGGAATGCTAGAGCGGTTGCTCAATGTGAAACCCAAAAAAGCAAGTAGAGAGAGAGAGAGTTTGCTCTTGACATAGGATGTCCCTTTTCTGGAGGTGCGGTAGTTCATGTTTTTGATGAGACTTTTTGCCATGTTGCTATCGGCATCTATAGGCGTTTAGGATTGGACTGCATTTGCCTGTGACATCACAGATTGGACAAACATCAAGTCTCCGTTATTTGGGCCACGGCTGCAGCTTGTTTGATGCCAGGTTTGTCAGCGTCTCAAGTTAGTCATTGATTGACGGGTCCATTTTGGCTCAGACTGCAGAAGGCCGAGCGTTGAAATTGGTATCCCCAAATAAGCAGAAGATGTTCTCCAATTGGAGAAGCCGCACGGCGACGAACAAAGACAGCTTCTTGGTGTAATTACTTGAGATGCTTGTTTTTGTTCGATCATCAATCGGAAGCCCTTGGTTTGAGACAAACACCCAGAATTTGGTCGTGAGAATTGCCAAAGGAACTTGTGAATCCTTTTGAAGATTTCCGCAGCGGATCCATAGGTTTGTGGGATATAGCAAACTGTTGATTAGTAAACCACTAGTATGGATATACATATATAATATATATATACATAAAGCCATTCTGACAGCTTGTTAATTAATCAACAGCTAATTGTGCGGTTTAGGTGATCAGTGTCCAAGGCTTGGAGTGCTCGAAGCAGCTTCCGCTAAAGCCTAAAAGCTCGGTGCATTTCGCCACGGACGTGCAAGTCCTGAATCGCTGTCCCCTGGAACTGAAGGGTGATGTTGATGTTGTTGATGTTGTTGTTGTTGTTGTTGTTAGCTGTTGGTGGAGCTGAATGGGGAATTCTCGAGGACGAACATCCACTTGTCGTTTGAAATGTTCACCGGTCACATTCTTCTGGACTTTATACCTTGCAATCAGTCAAACCATCAAATCCTTGTTCCCTGCTGATCCTTGATTTGCTGGTCGAACTGGACCAGACACCAGCTCAAGGTCCTGGTGGCAACTTCTCCGATCACGAGCTCTCTCGTGCGGACTCCTTTGCATCCACACGCGCCAGCACCGGAACCAGCCTATCTCACGGGAAGAGCATGGGTGCCCGTGAGACACAGCGGAAGATGATTGTGACACATTTCTTGGATGCCAATGGTTTCATGCACCTTGGGAAAGCTTCCAACGATTTCTTTGAGCCATGATGTCCTGGACCCCCCAAGCAAACAAGCCAAAGAGGAAGTTGATCCTTTGGTTAGAACTGGGGCTTTGTTCTTCCACCGATCGTGGCTTGTGAGTGAACCACCAGATCATCCAGATCCTCTATTGCTTTGAACCTTATCCGCTTTGAAGACATTGAGCAACCTGTGATGTAGAATGTTGTACTCCCCTCCCAAACTGAATCCAGGTCCTGTCGCAACACATTAATGAAGTTGCTATATATTGAAGACTACTGAAGCATGTTGTCACTCATTGACCGCGCTTAGCCCTCTTACATGCTGTATGCAGCCATGGGCGGATTTCCCATGAAAATCAATGATATCCATCCAGGAGAGTGTACTGTTCAACAACCTGTTCCAATACCTGCAAACTCCACTTGGTTATAATTCATGCAGTTTCCCAAGACTTGTTTAAAAGAACCACTTGTATCCGAACTTGCTGAACTAGTCGATCCCATGTTGGAACCTGCAAATCCTGACCGTAGCAACACTTCCGACAAGCAAACCGTCCCAATCCGGACCGTTGATAGTTCTTGCTGCTCAATGCTGGAACCATACAAACAAACCCTTCAGAACCCACAAAAGAGCACAAATCCTACCAAACTTGGAAAACATAAATAATGTTAGCATGAAAAAAACACCTGCAATCCCTCTCAAAAGACAATTGTGTTTGACACAAGGATTTTACACCTTTTGGATCCTGCAGGCATACTGCAAGTGGCAAACCGCCCATGCTTCAAATAAGACATAAGCCCAGCATTTCGTTAGGACGTGTTCGTCGTGGTGTTTGAGGTGCTCGGCTCCCTCGCCGCCCATGCGAGAGAAAGGGGGCAATGATGTCTTCAATGAATATGTTTAATATGTTTGTGAAGGTCCAGCAACCTCAGGCCAGCAACCAGCGAAAACCAGCGTCAGCTCTGCAAGCCAAGGCGGAAGAATTGAACAGATGCGAATCGCTGGGTTTTCCCAGTGTATCGGCCAGCACGCGTACCAAGCACACAAGAGTCGAAACGAAACCGATGCCGCAGGATTCGGATATATACATGCCTTTACAATTAGCAGCAAAAGCAACCCTGAATCACACTGGCGGAGCGAGTGCCATGACCCTTGTTTGGGTCCTAAGACACCACGAGAGAAACGGTGACGCTGTACTTTTGGGGTCCACGGTACGCGCAACGCAGGCACTTAAATGTTGGATTCCACGGGGAAGTCGCCGACCGCTGCAGCCCACCGTTAGAAACTGCAGGTGCCTTGAAAGGCACCGAAATCAACGGTCATGAGCCTCCGTTTTGGCCGCAGTTTTGGCCGAGGTTCTGTGGAAGCCGAGAAGTTCCATAAAATGTGGAGGTCGCGGAAACACTCAAAAAATATCAACACATCCTTCCTGACCGCACTACTGTATATTACTGTACATTCTTTATTCAAAGCAAAGGTGCGGAAATCCAACAAGGCCTTCAAAACCCTGCAAGCGTTACCGCACGTGAGACGGCATGGGATGAACGCTTAAATACAACAAGCAACCCGTACATTGGCTGAGAGCGCCGTGACCCTTGTTCGAGACTAAGGCACATCAATGAGGCTAAGGCCTCCTGGTTTGGTAAAAGCTATCCTCTCCACGTGGCCGTTCGCCAGAACAAGACCGCCGTGGTCAAAGCGCTGCTCCTCTTGGGCGCGTGGCGTGAGGCCAAGAGCCGACGAGGTGAAACTGCGGAAGAGCTGGCGCTCAGGCGAGGAGTCGATGTGAACTTCCTTGGTATAGAACAGACAGGTATAGAGAACAACCCAAAACAAGTAGAACACCATCAACACCTGGTAGAAACAACAAACAGGCGCTCTTTGGTGATGGTTTTCTCCTTTATTAGCGGGTTTCTATTCGCAGTCTCTAGGTTTAGAGCAAGTGGCCCCACGATATTAATGAGTATACTTATACCCGTCACGGGGATTGTAAGCCTGTTTGTGAGTTTCTGTCCTATCATACTATCTACTGTTTCTGTCCATGTTCAAGACCAAAAGAAGCCTTTTCACCAGCCAGACACAAGCCAGGTGCCAACAGCGTTGGGGCGGATATGAAGAGATCCTGAGGGTTTTTGAAGAGGACGTCGGTTGACTGTGACTGCAGAAGCAAATCGTTTAAACGAAGATCCCAAGAAGAGCAAATCATTTAGACGATACCTATTCTAAGATTCAAGGCACCTGACTCCAGAAAAGGGGATTTGCTAATGCCCATATATTGACAGAGCTATATAGAGTATACACCATATGTGCAGCGAACAACTAAATTATATAGAGGGAATGTGTTTTGTTTTAACTGCTTCTTAGTAGTGTTTGATGTGTGTGTTTGGTTAGAAAGAGCTCAGCAAGAACAAAGGCTCTTGGATCAAGAACATTTTCTTTAAGAATAAGAAGAACTGAAGAAATGGAGGATGATTTGAAGAACAGGAAAGTGCACGTGCAAGACAAGAGCTGGTTGGTCAAAACGTCTAGACTAGAATCTAGAATATTCTGAATCACATTGCTGACCTGTGGCAATTTTGATTGCTGCTTCCCCTTTTGTTCAGTTTGTTGTTCCGTTTGATTATGTAGTTTGTTCCAGTTGTGTTGGCTTCTCATGTTATTATTCAGCATGTTCTTGCTATAGATGTTGCCTTGTCCGATCTCTCATTTTGCTTTTCCTGTTTGTTCATGGTTCCAAGCCGTACCCAGGAAGTAATTTATATTTGTTCAAGGCCTGCCAACCGTTTTAAATGCTTCCCCTTCTTAGTCTTAGCTGGTTCCCCTACCCTTTTTGGCCAGCTGCTCTCCCGTTACTGGTCTAGTTAGTTACTTAATATTTCTTATTCAATGTTTCCTGCGGTCCAGTGGTGCTTTGTTACGACCATTTTCCTGCTCTCTTACGGTAACTATATTGTTCTAGAACAGAAGACGGTTCAGAAACTAGCTCCGATTCAGAAACTACGATTCAGAAACTACAGAGTGCCCCGATTCAGAAACTCACCCGATTGAGAAACTATCCGATTCAGAAACTGGGGGTGGGGTGGGGTGGGGATCTAATGAAATGTTTGTGTTAGACCCGATTCAGAAACTATCCGATTCAGACCCGTTCTAGTTTCCGAATCCGCGCTCCTTCTAGTTTCCGAATCCGCCGTTGACCTATGGTTTGATATAGTAATTTGTTCACACATTCGTCGTATTCTTTGGCCCGGTAGATGTTCTATGTGTTGCTTACCTCTTTCTATTACTATTCAGAGTCTGTCATTCAAGCGAATATATAGAGAATATTAAACACACAAGTGCAATAATAGAAGGAGCTAGAATCAACGATAAAGCAGCTGGACAAGATGCACGAGAGGCTCCTGTTCTTATTTAGATATCCCATGATATCCGGACTTATTCACTCAATGTCCAATTCCATGTTTTTCTTCAACTCTTCCTCTCTATAGTCTTCACTCACCAAACCTTTTCGGGACCTTAAGCCAATCCCCGGAAATCCAGCAAAAGAATGACCCCCAAACCTGGAAGGACAAGCTTCGAAACCAGAGGGACGTCGACGTCGACCACCCGAACCGCGGAACCTCCACTGCAGCCTCTTCATCGGGCGCAACTGCCGCCTCTTCATCGGCGTCGGGGCAAGCGGCAGAGAGCTATGACACACGAGTGTGAGACCGAAGGTCATGAGGATCCCAGATTTCTAGATGATTAACTGTTGAAGGAAGAAAGCAGTTGTGACCCAGGTAGATGGGGGTAGATCGACCTTATGGAGAGATCCAAATCGTTGCTTTGAGGGCTGGTGCAGGAGTTCTTCCATCAACAGAATCGACAGATGCAGATCATTTGGGTTTGGAATGCGCACCCAGCCAAACCCCGAAATGGTCGCTTTCAGCATGGGGGCAGTACTGCCACACATCCCCTTTAAGAGGGATTTGCGGTGGCAGATGGCGGGTTTGGACCCCGTGGAGGGAATTTCCGATGGCGCAGACTCCCTCAACGCCGGGCTCAAAGATTTGGGGTTTGATTTTTCAGTTGGTCAATCAATCGTTTGAGCCAACGAACGGCGTGGGGTGTCGAACGGCGGCTGGGGTGATATAACCCACCGGCCTGGCCAGATCCAAGCTGGGATCTCCGCCCATCTCCGAGCAACAGACTCGATGGTGGAACAGGTTTACTCTCCCGACCTTTTTTGGGTCACTGGAATCCCAGGCTGCAGCACTCAGGTTCTCGTTCCATCAGCATGCAGCATGTGCTGAATTTTGTGCTGAATTTTGATTTCGGAACATCCAGTGACCGACGTGGAGAATTCCAGGCAGCCTCAAGCAACTTGACGCTCGCTGGGAAAGGAGAAGTTCATGGGTTCATTGTACAGATTTTGTGGTTCTAGGACGGCCTCCTGGCCAATTCAGGAAACTTGTACAGGGAATAGGACTTCATTTCACTGGAAGTGGAGAAGCCAAGCAGCGCCTGAACGGCAGTGGTCGAAGGCACTGTGTGGTCACTTTGCTTGAATTGAATAGCGTTGTCTCGGATTGAGATGAGAAAAGGCAATCGGAGCCGATGTGATTGAGAGAAGGTCAATCCAGTACAACACATCCATTTGTTTCTCCAGATGTCCTTCATGGCAGGTGGGGGACAGGATCCTACAAGGCGTGCCGTGCGCGAAGACCTTTCAAGACCTGCTGCGGATCGTGAAGCATTGGGCACAACAGCGGGGCATCTATGGACTCCCAGCTGCAGGGGAAAGGACTCCGTTTGCAGCGCCGAACTCGTGTGGCACGGTGAGTTCAGCACACTGCATTGCTTTGCCAAGTGGATTTGCTGTATTTTAGCGTGGGGATGCGTATAGAAAAAAAGATACCTACTCGTTTTTGCCGCACCAACTTACTCAAGATTCTAGGGGTACAACATGCTAATTATGTCACTCTTGACGCAATCTTTGAGCAGTTTGTTTGCCCGAAGCCTCTCATTGCCGAGGAAGTTTATTCGGTCTGTTTCATGGCACTGCCTGGGCGATTTGCTGCGCAGCTCAGCTGAACTGGTCATAATCACACTCGGAAGACTGCTGCGAGGATGCTGCAGTACTTAGAAGACTGCTTTCCCTGCTGTTTGCAGAATCCCCCACACTGACAGGCAGCATTGACCCGTGCCATTGCCGGACACCCCTCCCGTCGTTGCTGCCCCCCCAAGGCCAGGGTTTGCCAGAATCATCCCGAGACCACAGTGGGGACCTCAGACCTAGAATTTTTCCAGAGCAGAACGGCAGAAAACATCAGAAATCGCATGTCACGGCGATGTAGATGGATGGAAGATGATGGAAGTGTGAGAGAAGAAAATGGAGGTGGCACTAGTCTCCATAGGCCAGCTTGGAAGAAGAGATGATAGGAAGATTAGGAATCGGGATCAGATTTTGACTCTAATTATCATTTTGGGTAATTCGCTTGTCCTTTTTGGAAATCCCCTGTCAGCAGATCTCTCGGACTCCTTGGAAAAGTGCGGGGTGGGCCTGGATGGCCTGGCTTGGGGATGAATGGGCTTTAATTTGGTATTCAAAGCCGCATCCAAGCCGCGGATTTGGCTGATGGTATCCCTATAAGCGTTTTTGGTCCAATGTGTCCAGAACGAGCTACAGGCAGGCCAAGTGAGTGCCTTCGGTACCAGAGCGCTTCCCCAAAACCGGACGGGTTTTGGGCCGGGCAGCGTTCTGAAGTTCACAGGGACAGTCGACGCCCCTCCCGAGGAGTCGCTGAAGCTGTTTAGGGGTCGAACTTGGCTTTGAGATCAAGAGGTCGAAGAAGCAAACGAGTTCAGTGTTAACATTATCATTTTTGCACCAATAGAACATGATACAACATGATAGAACAAGGTAGAACAATTCGAAAAGTGCTGATTAGTGTGAACACCGAATCATGCATCCGATGCCGTTCCTCGTTGTTTTCGGGACCGGCGTTGGTTGTCTTGTTACCGTCCCAGCTTTTTGTTCAAGAAAAGTCCAACAAAAAGAAGGCCCGACGCTTTCGTGAGGCCTTGGCTGAGCTCCTGGAATTCTTCTTCCAGGACTTGTGCAGCTGGGACTGGTCAGCACCCATTTGCTTGGCTTCCGACGCTTCCGACGCGGACCTCGTGTCGCCCAGCGTCACGCGGACGAACGTCCTGGTGCAGATGCCCGGGATCAACCTGGCAGCCAGCCGGAACGTCAGCGAACCTGTGCCTTGGATAGAGGGCAGATATCGGTTGTCGAGTTGTTGGATGATGACGTTGGATGTGGATAGGGGCAGTGACGAGCCCTGGTTTGGGAAGCAAGGGTGCAGGTTGCAAGTTGGATGTATGTTAGTACACCTTGTACAAGTCGAATCTAGAGTTCCTCCCAGAGATCCACGAGAGGTGTCATAACAATTCATAAGATCTCACTTGGAGAAACGAATTGTGGACCTTAGCAATCATTAGGCCAATGCTGGAGTGCATTCCCTCCTTCCACATACTTCTCCCACAAAGGTGCTATCTTGCAGTAGCGCAACACACCCAGCCCAGCATACGATGAGGATGAAAGATACAATGAATTTAATGTAGCTATAACCGCGCTAGCCAAGGATATTGCCATGTAGAAAAATAAAGGAAAGAAACATATTAATAGTATGAACCTTGGCTAGCGAGGGACCTCCAAATGAAAGTGAATATATGAAAGAAAATATAAATTAAAGTAATGCTTATCCTTGGCTGGGAAAGGGAAGGCCTCCAATGCCTTAGTTGGACGGAAACTGAAGAGACTTGAAGGGCTCAGATCACAACAGTCCAACCGACGTCGTTCGTTCGAGTTCCGCCCACGGCGGCCAGGGGTCTCATGGTTTCGCAGGATCAAAGCCATGGGAGGTGGCAATGACCTCCCAAGTATTTTTCCGTGCTAAGGCTGTTGCCATGTACACTGGTACACTTCTTTCGGTCGAGCCCATCCCACCCATGAAAAGAACGCTCATACATGCTGTTGACAAAGCAATCAACAAGCTGACAAAGCTCCAAGCAGGGCGTAGAAGACTCCTGCTGTAGGCCTTGGCATTTTTGTCTATCTCAGGTTGCTAACCGAGTGACAAGTAGGCAGTATATGGGTTAACACCTTCTGAACAGGAGTGGCCTCTATCAGCATTATCAGCTGGGCACCGACTCCTCCGTGCGCCAGGGCACCCGTCTCCCCTTGTGTCGTCGTGCTGCGCGCCTGCGCCGCGCCAGGTGATGCGTGTCTTGCAGCGTGAGCTCCGCCGGGCGGAACTGAAGCAGCCACCCGAGCTGTGGGCCGCGTGGAACCGGGAAGGAAGGGTATGAAGGGGGACGGGAAGAACGTTTGCTGCGGTGGCTCCATTGCGGGGTGGTTCTTGGCGTGTTGTTGGTGTGTTCATGGTGTTAATTTGCACAGTGTTGTTGTTTTTTTTTTCAGTTTCGGGAGGCAATATAAAGTAAACGTGGTTCGAAAGTGCCTCCCAAGAGTTGAACGGGGCAACAAGTCAACAACCCCCTCCAAAAAAAAACTCGAGTGCAGATAATGGGGGCGAAATCAACCAGTGACTAAATCAGAGGTTTTGAGAGGGAGAGAGTTCTTAAGTGGAGCAAACCGTCGTATGCAAAAAATGCCATAGGTCGAACGACATACTTTTTGGAGCAGCAAGGTGGTGATATGTTTATTTGTGTGCGTGTCTTCTTGACCTGCACCTGGCGGAACCGGACACTATGAGGATTTTTTCACCTTACACACTCGGAACCACAGCACTCTCTCCGGTTCAACTTTTGGCGCTCCCATGGGTGATGGGTCACTTTTGGATATTCCGACAAACATATCCATGGCGGACATTTGCGCGGAATATGGCGGACACTTGCGAACTGGACATTTGCAGCAAATGGGACACCTCAAAAAAAGCACGTCAGCGATGTTCAGCGCATGTTTGGTCCAGCATGGCACTTGTGCTTGCGGTTTGAAATGTCGCACTTTTTTGGGAATCGGGTGGTCCAGGCAGGGAGAGAAGCTTATGAACCAACAGTCACTTTTATGTTCAGCATGTCCGCTATAGTGCTTCGACAGAAGCTGTGGGTATTCCCAGCTTAAGCGTGAGAGAACCACTACTAAAGAGAGCGAAACCAACAGTCACTGGAAACAGACAAATGATTCACTAATGGATACTAATGGAACAATTGAATTGGAAAGTCACCAAACCAAACTACCGGACCTAGCGTTCAATATAGCAGACCTGAGCCTCTGGGTTTCTTTCACCATCCCATGCTTGGAGCTCGTGAACGTTCGTCAGGCGCCCCTCGTCTCGCCTCAAGCGGCGCACCGAGGCCGAACATCACTTCTTCCAGCGTCATCGTCTCTCGGCGAGCGGAAAGACGTGGAGCCGAGAGATGGCCGAAGTGATGATCTAGTATCATGGTACTTATTGACCATAGTATTAACATGTATTAACCATATATTAAATATTAAACACCTACTTAATTTAATGGTTTTAGACTATTGCATTAATAAGCTTAATAGATGTGAAGAGGTTGTTCAATCCACATCGTGCGTTTTTTTCATCCCACAGGCGCCCATATGTTTGAATGCCCTTCTTCGTGACGGAGGTTCGACAAACGCGCTCCCGGGAGAGGTTCCCACAATCGGAAAAGCTACGAACACAAGACCCACCCTT